GCTCCGCTCGACTCAATTTTTAAGATAAAAATGCTAAGTTTCAACGTGTTCTTCTAGGAGAGTATTTTTCATCTGAAGCTATTCTTGATTTTTTGTTCTTTCTTCAAGGTGGGGACTTGAAAAAATAAAGAGCAATTCCAATGTTTCCTCCAAGGTCCCCCAATGAAAGAAAATGTCCAGTTCATCGGTAGTTGATTTACAATTTCAGTAATGTTTAATTATTTATTTGTAAATCTGTTCTTGCCTACCATTTTGCAAGGAAAATAATAAGTTACCAAGATAATAGACAATAAAACAATACAACTCATAAGAGCCCAAATTGTCCAAATGGGACCTTTCCTATAGAGCATATTCAGACTGTTGTTCATTACCCCCCCCCCCCCCCCCCCCCCCCCTTTTTTTTTTTTTTAGATCTATTGTAGTTTTCAAGATAAACGCAAAAAAACAAATAATTTAAAAAACATTATTTTTTCCTTGTATAAAATGTGTTAAATGTGTTAAAATTCATAACAAGATACTCGAGGCTTTATCCAAAATCAATATGAAAAAGCTAGGGCTAACTATTTGGGCATTGCTGTAGATTGTGTATTGCTCACCGCTTCAACTGTTTACAGTTTCTACCCAAAAACTATTAATGAAAGCCAATTACTCCTACAAGGATTCATCGCCGGAATAAATTTGGTGGAAATAAGAAGTACATGTGGGAATATATCTTGAATTCTGCGCATTTTTTAATGAAAAAGTAGTTTATTAATATTATTTCCCGTTTCGTTTCAAAGGAAACTATGTGCCACTGTGAACAGTATCGGCAACCGATCAATAGTAAATGGTTCGTTGGAAGGGGTTTCCTAATCATCCATCATGTAGAGTTTCCAAACGTATAGCTTTGCAGTTTCAATGAAGAGGATCTTTTTTTTAAAATTTATCGGTCAAATTCAAAGATTGACTCTGGTGGTATTATTTTTTACGAATCGGAACTAAATGAGGGTCTTTTGTATAGGAATGTCAATACATTATTCTTGCAAAGATTTATCAAAATTGGCTGAGTTGTTTCAGAGAAAAAGGTGAAAATGTGAAAGTCTACGGACAACGTATGCTTAATGACGAGAACAGCTTACATGGCCTTACAGGCCTGCATGACAAAAGCAGTTACCGTTGGAAAACCGGACTAAAAGCGCTGTTTCTTTGCTCTTTGCGTGTTTTTGCTGTGCATGTACTGATTTTGTGTCATGGATGGATACCCATATCCTTTGTTTTTCTATTTTATTTGAAAAGAGATATAAATCTCAAGCTTTAATAACTACGGAGCACAAATTGTCTTGAGATGTAAAGTCCAGGGCGGGAGATATAAAGTCCATGCAGCGATTGAGGTGTAATGTAAATTTATATCTACAGCGCTGGACATTATATTTACAGCGCTGGGCTTTAAATATACAGCGCTAGACTTTACATCTCCAGCGCTTGACTTTAAATCTACAGCGCTAGATTTTACATCTGCAGCGCTTCATTTTTAAAAAACATAAAACTCTTTATAGGTATGAGAGCAACAGGGCTCAATAAACAATAAATTAATGCAGTTTTTTATGTTCAGTTAGGCATTAATCTTATTAAAATACAGATCCTGTGTGTCCAAGATTTGCTTACAAGGATCTGAAAACGTTCCATTCTACTTTATCTTTTAAAGAATATTTGGGATTGTCTGGTTTTGTCGGATTGATACACACCCTTCAAAAATCTGAAGGCTGAAATTTCTTCGGCTAATGTAATAATAACCAGAACAGAAAGTAAAATGGAGTGTAAGCAAAGCTTAGACACAGGATCAGTATTTTAATCAGATTGGTTAGGCACTGACTATTAATCTTTTGTTGGGGGTGCATGTGTATTTTTGGGCTCAGGACAAACATATTTATCGACTTTAATAAAAAAAAACACATTTTTTTCAACAACAAGATTATATTTTAAATTTCATTGTTGTTTTATTTTTTCTCTAATTTTCAATGGAAACAACCTATTTTTCGCTTCCCTTCTGAAATAAATAATGTCTTTTTCAAGAAATTCGGAATCAAGCAATTAAAAAAAAACATGCCTCTTCTCCCCCCACCCCACAACAAAATGAAAGATGAACGGTCGGTACCTTAGCCCTTTTAACAGTTCGGTGCCTTGAGTCTGGAGGTGTGTAAAGGCAGTTTCTCACGAAATTTAAGTCCCAAAGACCTCGGATTGTTTGTACGAAGATCCTTGTATGTTGCGGGTAGCTGTCTAGTTGAATCTGTTATAAAAATGTGAGCAAACGAAATAAAAAAAAATTGCGCATAAAAGTAATGATTTTTACGTGCAAATGTGAGTGCAAATGTAATGCACCGAGCTGAAGTTTATCCCATATCTCCTTTCATCCACATCGGTATAATTATGCATGCGTAGAAACGTTTATAGCTTATAATATAAAATACTATAAAAAATGACTATAATTTAATTGGCATAGAAATACAACTAAAGTATTTTTGTCATATTTTTGCCACAGCAGGGAAATTTTTCAATTACCTCTTTTTTATTGGGTCTAATGCTCCCTCCGAAATGTTTAAAACGTTGATTTTTGTTCAATTGCACTGTCTCAATTTTTCTACGAATTGCACTGACGCATTTTCTATAACTTGCACTTTCGGAAGCTGATACGAGGCTGGAGCTGCTAGATCAGAAAAGGTAAACTGTCATAAAAAAAACTGCAGAATATTATCTTGTAGATCAAATATTTGAACTCAAGGTACACTCGAGGACCCATAATATCAATCTAATTAAAATTCATATCTATATTAACTCACGTGCTCGTACACATATGTGTATATAACGAAATCAAAGAACTAATAATAATGTCTATATTTTAACTAGATTGTCATAATATCACTTTAACCTTATGTTCATTATTTCATAAACCCATCGATAAAACCTAAACTTTGCAATTCTTATTTTGACCATTTTCCAACAAAATCAGATGGGACTTTTTCATCTTTAAAACGAGGTAGCAAAGTGCCAAGGTTTATCTCTTTTAAAATCTCATCAATTTTCCAAACGAAAGTTACATATTTATACAGGTTTATAGTAATCTGGAGAAGCAGATCGGAATCAGTTATGACGTAGAGTGTAATCGTTCTAATCGTGATCATGTTTATTGACCATAACATCGATGAAATCACATCATATAAGTACGTTTTGACATCATATAATGAAGTAATCCGAACCACATTATAATGTTACAAGCACATAATATAAAAGACACAACCACATCATATAAAGATATTTGCACATCATATAAGTATATTTGCACATCATATAAGGATCTTTGGACATCATATAAGTACATTTGCACATCATATAAGTACATTTGCACATCATATACGTACACTTGCACATCATATAAGTATATTTGCACATCACATAATGATCTTTGCACATCATATAAGTATATTCGCACATCATATAAATATGTTTGCACATCATATAAATATGTTTGCACATCATATAAGTATATTTCCACATTACATAAGGATATTTGCACATCATATAATGTCAACTGGACACCATATAAAGGTGTTTGCACATCATATAATGACAAGTATACATAATATAATGGTAAATGCACATAATAAGACAGTGTTGGCGTTCCATAATGTAAACCATACAAATATGAAAGAAAAGAGTGATTCTGAAAATGAACTTGAACTCCAAATTTATTAAGGGTATACGATACATTGTTGATCCCACCGTAAAATTTTGACAAAAGTATGCGTACAAGCTATTCTTCACCTAGGCAATTCAAAAATGTAATAAAAAATATTTTTCCATGTGTTACTTTTAGAGATAAATGGGATAGAAAATTTAGACATCTACTGGACATTTCGGTTTCTTGGACATTTCTGTTAATTTAAAAGTCATACCTAACTTTTTTGTTTCAAAAGGTAAACGCAAGCGGATTTTTGTAAAAATATCAGGAATATCTTCTTTACATAAGTGTGTTTTGAATTTGTGTAACAATTCTTTGGAAATAACTCATTTTATCACATTTTCATGATTTAAGTCAAAAAACGGCATTTTCGGCTGTATATTTAACTAATTCAAAAATATTTCATCGGTGAAATTTTCATAACAATTGGTACACATAATCTTCATTCATAATCAAGCCAAGTGTAATATTTAAAAAGAGGTCTGAATGATAACTAGAGGCTCTCAAGAGCCTGTGTCGCTCACTTGATTCTACTTTGGTTTTGGAAATCATGTAAAAATAGATTAAAATCATAACAGATACCCTGATAATGAGTGAGGCCAAATTTGGTTTAATATTGGTCCTGTAATTTAATAAAAAAATCCTGGTGGCCATCTTGAACAGTAAATCGGCAACAAAGTAGCAACACTTAATCAGCACCTCATAAGAAACATTTATGCCATGTTTTGGTGTCATTCCATTCAGTGCACCTCTAGAAGAAGCATTTGTATGTATTTCCCATAGGGTCTTATGTTAAAGGAAGTCCTCCCATTGGCGGCCATCATGGATGAAGGATCAGCTTCAAAGTAACAAAACTTAGTCAGCACCTCATAAGGAACATTCATGCCATGTTTGGTTTCAATCCATTCAGTATGTGGTTCTCTAAAAGAAGACATTTGTATGTATTGTCCATAGGGTCCTTTGTTAAACATTGTCCCCATCTGGCAGCCATCATGGATGAAGGATCAGCTTAAAAGTAACAACACTTGGTCAGCACCTCAAAAGGAACATGCATGCCATGTTTGGTTTCATTCCATTCAATGGTTCTCTAAAAGAAAACATTTGTACGTATTTCTCATAGTTTCCTATGTTAAACTAAGTCCTCCGCTGGCGGCCATCTTAGATTATGGATCGGCTTCATAGTAACAACATTTGGTCAGCACCTCATAAGGAACATTCATGCCATGTTTGGTTTCATTGCATTCAGTGGTTCTCTTAAAGAAGACATTTGTATGTATTTCCCATAGGGTCCTATGTTAAAATAAGTCCCCCGCTGGCGGCCATCTTGGATGATGGATCAGCTTCAAAGTAACAACACTTGGTCAGCACCTCATAAGGAACATTCTTGCCATGTTTGGTTTCAATCCATTCAGTGGTTCTCTAAAAGAAGACGTTTGTATGTATTTCCCATAAGATCCCATGTTAAACCAAGGCCCCCGCTGGCGGCCATCTTGGATTATGGATCGGCTTCAAAGTAACAACACTCGGTCAGCACCTCAAAAGAAACATTCATGCCATGTTTGGTTTCATTCCATTAAGTGGTTCTCTAAAAGAAGACATTTGTATGTATTTCTCAGAGGGTCCCATGTTAAACTAAGTCCCCTGCAGGCGGCCATTTTGGATTATGGATCGGCTTCAAAGTAACAACACTCGGTCAGCACCTCATAAGAAACATTCATGCCATGTTTGGTTTCATTCCATTCAGTGGTTCTCTCAAAGAAGACATTTGTATGTATTTCCCATAGGGTCCCATGTTAAACTAAGTCCCCCGCTGGCAGCCATCTTGGATTATGGATCGGCTTCAAAGTAACAACACTCGGTCAGCACCTCATAAGAAACATTCATGCCATGTTTGGTTTCATTCCATTCAGTGGTTCTCTCAAAGAAGACATTTGTATGTATTTCCCATAGGGTCCAATGTTAAACTAAGTCCCCTGCTGGCGGCCATCTTGGATGATGGATCAACTTCATAGTAACAACACTTGGGCAGCACCTCATAAGGAACATTCATGCCATGTTTGGTTTCATTCTATTCAGTGGTTCTCTAAAAGAAGACATTTGTATGTATTTCCCATAGGGTCCCATGTTAAACTAAGTCCCCCGCTGGCAGCCATCTTGGATTATGGATCGGCTTCAAAGTAACAACACTCGGTCAGCACCTCATAAGGAACATTCAAACCATGTTTGGTTTCATTCCATTTAGTGGTTCTCTAAAAGAAGACATTTGTATGTATTTCCCATAGGGTCCCATGTTAAACTAAGTCCCCCGCTGGCGGCCATCTTGGATTATGGATCGGCTTCAAAGTAACAACACTCGGTCAGCTCCTCATAAAAAACATTCATGCCATGTTTGGTTTCATTCCATTAAGTGGTTCTCTAAAAGAAGACATTTGTATGTATTTCCCATAGGGTCCCATGTTAAACTAAGTCCCCCGCTGGCAGCCATCTTGGATTATGGATCGGCTTCAAAGTAACAACACTCGGTCAGCACCTCATAAGGAACATTCAAACCATGTTTGGTTTCATTCCATTTAGTGGTTCTCTAAAAGAAGACATTTGTATGTATTTCCCATAGGGTCCCATGTTAAACTAAGTCCCCCGCTGGCGGCCATCTTGGATTATGGATCGGCTTCAAAGTAACAACACTCGGTCAGCTCCTCATAAAAAACATTCATGCCATGTTTGGTTTCATTCCATTAAGTGGTTCTCTAAAAGAAGATATTTGTATGTATTTCCCATAGGGTCCTATGTTAAACTAAGTCCCCCGCTGGCGGCCATCTTGGATGATGGATCCGCTACAAAGTAACAACACTTGGTCAGCACCTCATAAGGAACATTCATGCCATGTTTGGTTTTATTCCATTCAGTGGTTCTCTAGAAGAAGTTCAAAATGTAAAAAGTTAACGCCGACGACGGAGGACGACGCCGGACGACGACGGACGACGGACGCCAAGTGATGAGAAAAGCTCACTTGGCCCTTCGGGCCAGGTGAGCTAAAAATCAGTCGAAAAATGCATCTTTTCTCGATATGTAACAGTTTGACGTCGCGAAAAAGTAACATTATTTTACGTTATCAACGTCATTACCTATAGATATACAAAAGGTTATCTTAGAAATGTTATATACAGATTATTACATAGCCTTTTCCATATCAGCCCGGGTATCAACCCGATACCCCTATATCAGCCCGAGACGTTAGTCGAGGTCTTATACAGGTCAAGATCTGATATATATTAATCTTTTTATCATATACATTGTACTACCGATGTACGAACGCACTCGGGCTGATAACCCCATTTATCGGTGTTCCCACTGTCAGTATCACTCTGCTCAGCTCTTCATAAAATTGCATAACACGGCTTTATGACGTCAAAAAAGTTAACCCGGCCTAAATAACTTTTACCTGGACATATCATCGACGTCATAATGAATGAACTGACATTGATAAGTTTGACCCAAACTTATCGAGTCATCCTGAATCTAGCAGCAAATTTCATATTAATCTAACTGACACATACCATCGCAACGGAAATCGCCAGATAGGAGAAATGTATGTTGTCAAGCTTTTTTTTAGAATATATTTTTGCTTACAGACTATACTAAGTAAGGCAGGTTATCAATATCCTTACATAAGAACACATATTTAAAGACTTAGTTATCAATAATTTGAATATATCAATATACCGAAGAATCAATTAAATTGTCAATATACTTTAAACGGGACTATCAATAAATTTAAATAATTATTAAAAAAATTATACTAATACCTTTTTGGGGTCGACAAACTGGTTTTACAAATTTGATACAAATTCTCATTTTTATTTGTAGCAAAATGAACTGTTATTCCACTTCCTTTCATTCTTTTGTTGGCAAAGGTGTGCAGTTCCGTCATCATAATACTAGTACATGACCAAAGAAACCAATCCTCATTGCAGTCATAAAAATCTGTAAACAATATTACGAAAAAAAAATATTTATGTACATCAAAAGTTTACTGTAACACGAATAATTTTATGAATTAGATATTTAGACTTTCTTAAAGATACAATTGAGAATGAAAACGGGGATTACGTCAAAGAGACAACAACCCGACCAAAGAGCAGAAAACAGCCCAAGGCCTCAAACAGGTCTTCAACACAGCGAGAAAATCCCGCACTCAGAGGTGGGCTTCAGCTGGCCCCTAAACATAAATGTGTACTAGTTCAGAGGTAATGGACATAACTAAACTCCGAAACATATAAATGATCGAACCAAAATTAAATAAAATGCTCCACTAGGCGCAAGCTTGATACGACCGCAGAAGTCGAACCCTGAACAGTTGAGGCAAGTATAGACACAACATTTTTAAGCTTAAAACAGCTCTGAATTTGGATTGTGATTGAATATTTGACACAGCATAGGTTTGTGACACAAAATGAATGTGTTCAAAGAACTGAAAAAATTGAAATTGGACATTTACCTATTAATATGGTCTAAATTCCAATATCCAAAATCTAAGTGCATGGTTAGAATCAGCATATCAGAGAACCTCAAGAATTCAATTTTTGATGAAATCAAACAAAAGTTTAATTAAGGACCCTTTGGACCTCAATGTGGACCAATTTGATAACTGAACCCAAAATCCTTAATCTAAATACATGGTTAAATTCAGCATTTCAAATAACTCCATAAATTCAATTTTTGTTGAAATCAAACAAAGTTAAATTTTGGACCCTGATTTGGACCAATTGAAAACTGGGCCCAAAAATCCAAAATTTAAATACAGGTTTAGATTCAGCATATCAAAGAACCCTATATATATTCAATTTATTTAGAAATCAAACACAGTTTAATTTTGAACCCCGATTTGGACCAACTTGAAAACTAGGCCCAAAATCAAAAATCTAAATACATAAAATCGAGGATGGAAATGGGGAGAAAATACCGCACCCGGAGGCGGGCTTCAGCTGGCCCCTAAATAAAAATGTGTACTTAATAGACAATAATTATAAGCTAAGTTTTAAAAGGAGTTCGCTTCACCAAAAAAAAATATATATAGCATTCAGAAAATTAGTTTATACAGAATAAAAAACAAACCTACCACAAAATTCTTCAAACAATTTACCAAATAAAAGAAAAAAAAATCCAAAATATCATTTATCATTAATACAATGTCTTTAAAAAATCTATAAAACTTATCTGTAACTATCTTCAAAATATCTAATAATGAACAGTAAATTTCAAACTATATTTATACTGTCCTACAGAGCTTATCATCAACAATACTTAGGAAACACAAAATTTTCAAATAAATCTGTCACTCCAAATATAATTGTGTGATTGATTATTACCACATGTTTTTTTTTATCTTGATAGTAGGTGAACATTATTTAAAAACACTAAGTGTCATCAAACTTTATATATATAATTAATAGTTCCCAATATTTTTTCTTTCATTTGTCACAAACTAATATCTGCAACTTATCTATCAATGTCAACAACTTTATCTACACAATGTATTGTAATGAAATATATCCTTTAATAAAAATAGATTATTATCTAAAAATAACATTTTTTATTAAGATGTAACATAACATAATGTATGGCACAATTGTATTAAAAAACTTCACTTACCTACGCTTCCACTTCAACAGACGGACAAAGGTTTATTTTAATTTCCAAGGGAATTTTCAACCATAAAAAATATTCAAACATATTAACAATCTTTAAATAGAACACAATGCTTATATATTCATCACAACAATTAATATATATGAATCAGCAAATATATTTTAAACTATGACTCAATTTAAACTTTCTATTAGTTTACAATAAATATGTAAATGTAGAGCTTGATTAACTATTTAATATCCCAAACCCTCCTATTGTGGTATGGAACCTTGTGCTAAAATGTCTTACACATCCACACTTATACTAAAATTATTGTCTGTGAACCAATCTATTTTCCATGAACCAATTTATTTTCCATGAACCAGTGATGTAAACCACAAAAATAGTTCTCTAAAATTAGATATGATGTTATATCAATTTTCAACTATGACCCAACTTAAAATGTCTGTTAATTGTCCAAAAACATCTCTGAATTTAGATTCTGAGCAAATATGTAATAATAGCATAGAGTCTGACACAGAATGAATGTGGTTTCAAATTCTAAGTACATGGTTGGATTCAGCATATCAGATAACCACATTGTTTTTTTTTGTAAAAATCAAACTAAGTTTTATTTTGGATACTTTTGACCTTTATAGGGTCCAGTTTGAAAAACAAGGCCCAAAATCAAAAATTTGAAAAACTGTTAGATTGCACACATTAAAGAACACCAATGATTTGTTTTTTGAAGAAATCAAACAAAGTTTAATTTTGGAACCAAATTTGGACCAACTTTCAAAACTAAGCACAAAATCAAAAAATCTAAAACACTGTTGGATTGCCTATATCAAATAGCACAAACAAATTAATTTTTGATGAAATCAAACAATGTTCAATTTTGGACCTCAATTTGGACCATCTTGAATACTGTGCCCAAAATCAAATATCTAACTACATGCTTACATTCAGCATATCAAAGAACCCCAACAATTCTTTTTTTTAATCAAACAAAGTTTAATTTTGGACCCTTTGGACCTTAATGTGGGACAAACATACCCCAAATCAAAAATCTAAATACACGCTTAGATTCAGCATATCAAAGAACCCCAAGAATTCATTTTTTTTAAATAAAAAAAAGTTGTATTTTGGACCTTTTGGACCTTAATGTGGACCAATTTGAAGACAGGCCTCAAAATTAAAAAAATATAAATACACAATTAGATTCAGCATATCAAAGAACACCAATAATTTAATTTTTAAAGAAATCAAACAAAGTTTAATTTTGGACCCATTGGACCTTAATGTAGGCCGACCATGCCCCAAATCAAAAATCTTACGACACGCTTAGATTCAGCATATCAAAGAACCCCAAGAATTAATTTTATTTTAACAAGAAAAAGTTGTATTTCGAACCCTTTGGACCTTAATTCGGCCCAATTTGAAGACAGGCCTCAAAATTAAAAAAATCTAAATACACAATTAGATTCAGCATATCAAGAAACACAAATAATTTAATTTTCAAAGAAATCAAACAAAGTTTAATTTTGGACCCATTGAACCTTAATGTAGGCCGACCATGCCCCAAATCAAAAATCTAAATACTCAATTAGATTCAGCATATCAAGGAACATAAATAATTTAATTTTTTCAAGAAATCAAACAAAGTTTCATTTTAGACCCTTTGGACCTTAATATGAATCATTTCAAAAACAGACCCTAACATCAAAATATTAAATACCCAATTAGAATCAGCATATTAAAGACTCCAAAAAATTCAAGACTTTTCAATTAAACCCCATTGAAATTGCTAAAAAAAATAATAATTTACACAAAGTATTGGTTTTGGCCCCTTTTACCTAAACCAATAGGGTCATAAAGCCTGAAATCATTCCCAAACTTTGTTTTATGGTATAACACCTTGTGGCACAATTAAATAGCATTAAATAGACTTGTAATCAAGTTATTGTCCAGAAATCTGAAAATCCTAGTTTTTTAGCCCCTTATTATTAAACGGTTTGAACCATGACCCCTAAAATCAATCCCAACTTTCCATTTGAAGTATGTAACATTGTGGTAAAGTTTCATAGAAATCTATACTCTTATACACCAATTATTGTCCTGAAACATTAAATATGCTTGTTTTTGGCCCCTTTTTGGTCCCTGATTCCTAAACAGCTAAGACAATAACCCCCAAAATAAATCCCAACCTTCCTATTGTGGTATGGAACTTTGTGCTAAAATTTAATAGAGATCCATACACAATAACCCCCAAAATTAATCCCAACCTTCCTATTGTGGTGCAGAACCTTGTGCTAAAATTTTGACCAAAGAAATATCTCTTATACTCAAGTTATTGTCTTAAAAACAGACAAATAATTGTATTTGGTCATTTTCTGGCCCCTAATTACAAAACATCTTACTAGACAATAACCCCCGAAATCAATCCCAATCCTCCTTTTGTGGTATGGAACCTTATACTAAAATGTCTAACACATCCATACACTTACACTAAAGTTATTGTCTACGAGCCAATTTATTTTCCATGAACCAGTAAAACTGACCTTTTTTGGCCCCTAATTACAAAACTGTCAGGACAATAGCCCCCAAAAAATCCCAACCATCCTTTAGTGGTATGGAACCTTGTGCTAAAACTTCATAGAGATCCATGAACTTGTACTCAAGTTATTGTCTGCGAACCGAAATGTCTTTAGACGCAGACGCAGATGCAGACGCAGACGCAGACAACACCATAACATAATACTACCACAAATAAATTTGCGGTCGTATAAAAAACCATACAAGACTAACAAAGGCCAGAGTTTCCTGACTTGGGACAGGCGCAAAATTGCGGCGGGGTTAAACATGTTTTGTGAGATCTCAACCCTCTCCTATACCTCTAGCCAAAGTAGAATAAACAAACATACAGCAATACTCACAGTAAAACTCAATTTTTAAGAAGTCCGAGTACGATGTAAGAATAGGCAACAGAAGAAACTAAGCAAAATGACAATGATCAACATAAATTAACAGAGGACTACTAGCAGTTACTGATATGCCAGCTCCAGACCTCAATCAAACTGATTGAATTGATTGATTGATTGTTGGTTGCTTAACGTCCAGTGGTAAACTGATTGAAAGATTATGTCTTTGTTACATGAAAATCAAGCAAAATCCCTCCCGTTAGTGGTTTAGTATTATACCATCATAAAATATACGAGAAGAACATAACCCGTCATGCCAACAACTAGTTTTAGAATAAATAAAATGTGTTTATTTCCGATGTAAAGACCCTATGAGTGAATCAATATTAACCTGACAACAGTATCGTAACTATATCCCTTCTGAATAAGTCTGTTTAAAGGTTTGGTTAAATTTTGAGATGAATGACGACATTGTTGTGCTTTGTATAGAATATTACCATAAAAGATTGGATGGGAAATACCTGAACGTATAATATGTCTGCACGTTGATTTATATTTACGAATGATGTCCTTGTATCGATGATAAAATTTAGTAAATGTTTTGACAAGTTTGTAATATCGAAAACCCTGGTTTAATAACTTTTCAGAAATACAGCGACGTTAAAATCAAATACGTTGTTACATACACGAGCGAATCGAACAAGTTGAAATATATAAACACCATAAGATGGTGACAAGGGAACGTCACCATCTATAAATAGATAATCAGCAATAGGAAATGATAAATCATCTCTTTTATCGTAAATTTTGGTATTAAGCTGCCCGTTAAAGATATAGATATCAAGATCCAGGAAAGGGCAGTGTTTATTGTTAGTATTAACTTTATTCAAAGTCAGTTTAGCAGGATAAACCTATTTAGTGTACATACTGAAGTCGTCACTATTGAGAGCCTATATAGAATCTAAATATCTAAAAGTGTTATCAATTTTTTTTATCAGATATTGTTTTGATGGGTCTTTGCTGATCTTAGTCATAAATTGTAACTCGTAACAATACAGAAACAGGTCCGCAATAAGTGGTGCACAGTTAGTCCCCATTGGAATTCCGATAACTTGACGATAAACGGAATCTCCACAGAACAAAAAAAATTATCTAGTAAAAATTCAAGTGCAGTTATCGTATTAAAGCATGTAAATGTATATGAGTATACATAAGTAGTTGAATTTGACTATATTTGATTTAAACATGTATATGTCTAAATAAAAGTATGGTGACTTGAATAAAATAAACTGTATATTAAGTTACCATCAACAAGAACAGGGACAGCTAGGTGCTTTACTTCACAGTCATCTGCTTTCTTGAACATGTTAGCACAACACTGATGAAAATATGACTGAAAATTTAGTTGTGCAGAAGAATTTTTGTCAACAGCTTTTTTGCTCAATACTGGCATTACTGGACATATAACATGCCCAAATTTTAGGTGTTTGTCCCCAAAGGTGTCATATGCTTCTCCATATGATTTTTTCTTCCTTTTTAGGCTATCATAATTCCTATGAAAGTCATTTCCACATCTCTGAAGACATAACGAGGCACTTCGACTTTTTCCAGTCTGTGATTTATCAATGGTTATAATAACTCCTGTATCGTCCTCTTCAACTTTCAAAGTTTGTCCATGCTTATGACGTGGTACACTGAACAATGCACCATCACAGAGCAAAACATCGACCATATTTGGTAAGGCAAGAGCTAGGGATTTACTAGGTACAACATCTGTACCTACATAGGACAGGAATGTTTCTTTTATCTTTTTGGGAATTCTCATTAATTTTGATGACTTTTCATTGTGTGATTCATCTATAGCAAGAAGAAATGCTGCCTGCATTAAGCTTACAACATCAATATCTCGGTCCACAAAATGCACCTCCTTAATTGAAGACGTTTTACCAAATTTACTACTGTACTGGGTTATTGCTCTTGGAAAAGAAGAAAAACAGACCTGCCTTGGTCCACCACGGCCACCTACAATAAGCGTGAAGTATATAGGTAATATATAGATGTCCAACTGATATATCATTATTTAAGTTTAGGAACATTTATGGACAAAACCAATGAGTGAAAACAATCGGTTTACATATGAAACCAAATAGAGTTTGAAAAAGTTAGCACCTACTGATATACATTATACATTCCATGTGACTAGATTCTAAAGACACAAGAAGTGTCAACGATAGGAAGATGAGAAAATGTCAAATTGAAATTGTCGGCAATGTTGGATCAATGACAGGGTTATAATTAAATAAATGTGGATTGTGTCCACATGTGGATACAGGTGATGCCCCCGCTTGCATATCATATAGTTATAAAGGGACATAACGGTAAGAAGAACGGTAAAAGTGACGCTACCCAAATTTGAACTTGATCTGAGTTTTGTGGCAATAAGCATTGTGTGTAAGTCTCATAACATTTAGTTGAGGCTAACTTAAGTAGAGAACAGAAACGAAAAATTCAGCAATTTTTCTATTTGTAAACACGCATAACTCTAGAACGGTTGTGTATAAGTTTTATAACATTTGGTTGAGACAAACTAAAGTAAGAGAACGGAAACGAAAAATTCAGCAATTTTTATGTTTATACAATCGGTGCTCAGTCTTCAAGTTTCTGTTTATTCTTATGTGAGCTGTCCGTTTATCTATTCGCCATTTTTTTATATCTTTATTTCATTAAAAAATATAAACAAAAAGCGTATTTTCAAAATTTTGCCCATACATTTCAGCGGACGGCCAATTTGACAAAAAAAAAAAAAACAAAGAATGAAAATTATTGAGTAACAAAAAAAAACGTAACAAAAATGGTAAAGAAAATGTAAACCAAAAAAAAATCATTTTGTGATTTAAAATGACAAATTATAAGGAAGGACAATTTAATTCATCCGAAAAGATAATTTATTAGAACAAGAGTCTCACATTAGCCTGTATCGTATGCACATACTAGTTATTTAAAAAAAAAATTAAACTTATAGCTCCTAAAGTTTTTGATATAACAGCCAAAACTGCTAAAATAGTAAAAATCGACTTTTCAGGGGCAACAACTTCAAAACATATTGATTGATTTCAGAAAATGTTCAGGGTAAATAGATCTTGTCATACTGATAATTTTTACAATTTACATTATCATAACTAATCATTACTAGCGCTACAGTTTTCCTGATTACAGAAAAAAAGCTGCAAAAATTGGGAAAATGGTATTTCAGGGAAAATGACTACAAATCGAAATGACATATTTTTCTAAAATTTTATGGGTAAATGGAGCATTTGTGAGGACCATATTTGTTTTTCTCCTATTGCAACAATTTTCGAGATATTCTCAAATAAAATGCTTCGCCGAGCGCAGCTGGATACGACCGCAGAGGTCCAACCCTGAACAGTTGGGGCAAAAATGGACACAATATTCAAGCTTGATACAGGTCTGAATTTGGATTGTAATTAAATATTTGACACATTTTAGGTTTCTGACACAGAATAAATGTACATGTAGTCAAAGAACTTACTTAGTAAATCTGTTTTAGGCTATATACAAAGAATTAGCAAAATAAATTGTGACCCCAATTTTTCTTTGGAATTTTTTTTATACCCCCCTTCTAAAAAAAAAAAATTTGAAGAAATTTTCTTTTTGATTTCTTTCCCCCTTCCCCCCACCTTCCAAAAAAATCACATTTGAAGAAATTTTCTATTTGTAAAATGTGGTACAATTTAAGAGACATCAATACACTTAAACACAAGTTATTGTCTGAAAACTAGAAAAAATGCTTGTTTTATATCCTTTTGGCCCCTAATTCCTGAACGGTTTGGGCAATTACCCCCAAAATGAATCCCAACCTTCTACTTGTGGTATTGAACCTTGTGGTACAATTTCAGAGCAATCAAAATACTTATACACAAGTTATTGTCCTGCAACTAGAAAAATGCTTGTTTTTGCCCCCTTTTTGGTCCCTAATTCCTAAACGGTTGGGACCATCACCCCCAAATTCAATCCCAACCTTTCCATCTGTGGTATTGAAACTTTTGGTTAAATTTAATATAGATCTTAAACGAAAGTTATTGTCCGGAAACCAAATGTCTTCGGACGACGACGACGACGCAGACGACGCCGACGACGACATGATTCCAATATACGACCCCAAAATTTTTTTGCGGTCGTATAAAAACTGCAGTTTGCCTACTATGTTCTATTTTAGGCAATGATGACCATGTTGTTTGATCAACCTGGACAAACAAAAACCACAAAATTCGTAGTAAATAGTCATAGGTAAAGCCATGGAAGTAATATTTTAAATATTACTTCCATGGTAAAGCATACAAACTTTGGTTTCAATCATTATGTGGTTCCAGAGAAAAATAATTTTACAGAAATGTTTAAAAGGACGACGTACAACAAACAATGGAAGGAGGATGGATGGAAGGTGATGGCAATACATGTAGCTCATGTGGTCTTTTGGGCCTTAATGTTTCGGACGAACGGACGAATATCACTTTTGTGTTGATTGATTTTTTTTATATGCTAAAACCCATATTTTAATTATTAAAAGTTTGCACTTTTTACAAAAATGATAAAAGACACATACCTATGTTTAACTGACCATATAAATTAAGGTAATGTGGTATGATTGCCTATGAGACAAATATCTAACCGAGATAAAATGAAGCGGGTAATTTAAGCAATATACACAGGCAAAATATAACAACGTGATACCAATATACGACCAAAATTTTTTTAATTTTTGCGGTCGTATAACTAGAGGCTCTCAAGAGCCTGTGTCGCTCACCTGTATTTACTGACGCTTTGGAAATCATGTAAAATAAGGTTAAAATCATAATTAATAGTATTAGATATTAGATATTAAAATGATATCTAAGATAATAACAAAAAACTGCAAAATTTTTGTAAAATTACTAACTCATGGGCAGCAACCCAACAACGGGTTGTCGGATTCGTCTGAAAATTTCAGGGCAGATAAATCTAAATCTGATGAACATTTTTGCCACCTGTCAGATTTGCTCTAAATGCTTTAGTTTCAGAGATATAAACCAAAAACTTCATTTTACCCCTATGTTCTATTTTTAACCAAGTCAGCCATGATGGTTAGAAGGCGGGGTCATCGGACAAATTTTTTAAACTAGAAACCCTTATAATGATTATGGCCAAGTATGGTTAAATTTGTCTCAGTAGTTTCAGAAAAGAAGATTTTTGTAAAAGATTACAAAAATTTACAAAAAATTGTTAAAAATTGACAATTAAGGGCAATAACTCCTAAAGGGGTCGACTGACAATTTTGGTCATGACAACTTATTTGTAGATCTTACTTTGCTGAACATTATTGCTGTTTACAGTTTATCTCTATCTATAATAATATTCAAGATAATAACCAAAAACTGCAAAATTTCCTTAAAATTACCAATTCAGGGGCAGCAACCCAACAACAGGTTGTCAGATTTGTCTGAAAATTTCAGGGCAGATAGATCTTGACCTGATAATCAGTTTTACCCCATTTCAGATTTACTCTAAATGCTTTGGTTTCAGAGATATAAGCCAAAATCTACATTTTACCCCTATGTTCTATTTTTAGCCATGGCGGCCATCTTGGTTGGTTGGCCGGGTCATCGGACACATTTTTTAAACTAGATACCCTAATGATGATTGTGGCCAAGTTTGGTTAAATTTGGCCCAGTGGTTTTAGAGGAGAAGATTTTTGTAAAAAGCTAACGACGACGGACGACGACGACGACGACGGACGACGACGACGACGACGACGACGCCGACGCCAAGTGATGAGAAAAGCTCACTTGGCCCTTCGGGCCAGGTGAGCTAAAAACACTAGATATCATTGAGATGGCAACCATCTCTGTGGGCCCCGCTGTGAATAATGTATTTTTACCATAGGACATGGGGTTACTGAAACCAAAGTTCTTGACATTGACCTTTGACCTAGGAAGTTGTACATACATTATGACACACACTCTAGTGGTGGTTAATATACATGTCAAGTATAAACTTTGAAATCATAACGGTTCTCTTGATATAGAGCGGACACAATTTATTACGGATGGACAGACGGACGGACGGACAGACGGATCACTATAGAGCGACCCGCCATTCGGCGGGTTCATAATAAATCTCACATGAAATTCGCGTGAAAAATGAGATTAACTTCAAACGAGCTTATACATGAAAATTTTCATGTGAATTTCACGTAAATTGAGATGAATCTCACGTGAAATTTTCACATGAATTTCACAACTTTACCAAAAAAAAATGCTCCTCTGGGCGCAGCTTGATAGGACCGCAGAGGTCGAACCCTGAACAGTTGGGGCAAGTATGGACACAACATTTAATCTTAAAACAGCTCTGTATTTGGATTGTGATTGAATATTTGACACAGCCTAGGTTTGTGACACAAAATAAATGTGGTCAAAGAACTGAAAAATTTGAAATTGGACATTTACCTATTATGGTCCAATGTCCAAAACCTAAGAGCATGGTTAGAATCAAAGAAGCCCAAGAATTAAAATGTTTGATGAAATCAAACAAAAGTTTAATTTATGACCCTTTGGACCTTAATGTGGACCAATTCGATAACTGAGCCCAAAATCCAAAATCTAAATACATGGTTAGATTCAGCATTTCAAATAACTCCATAAATTCAACTTTTGTTGAAATCAAACAAAGTTTAATTTTGGATCCGGATTTGGACCAACTTGGAAACTTAAGTCCAACATTTAAATACAGGTTTAGATTCAGCATTTCAAAGAACCCTATTTATATTCAATTTATGTTTAAAACAAACACAGTTTAATTTTGGACCCCGATTTGGACCAACTTGAAAACTTAGTCCAAAATCAAAAATCTAAATACATGTTTATATTATAATATAAGCTTAGTTTTTAAAGCAGTTCGATTCATCAATAAAACTGCTTTGCTGAGCGCAGCTGGATTCGCCCGCAGAGGTCCAACCCTGAACAGTT